GTGTGTGGGTATAGGCGGATTGTTCAGGAGTGGTGGATATCTCTGGAGAATTAAAAAATGCACGCTTCAAAACCTTCTTGAGTCCTTTTTGAGAGACTGAGGTTAGTAGGAATATTATCACTATTGTTCTAGAGTCGTAGCCCAGGTGGTGTTCTGTATCACATACAGTAGGTGTGGGTCAGGAGCCATGCACTGATACTGTATGTCTGCTGTTTTCCTCTCCTCCTTTGGGGTGGTGAGAGAATTTTTTGTTGGATACTGAAGGAAAGAAAACGAGATACAAAATGTTCCACAACTTGTGTGTGAGTCAGATCTTTAAAAATAGGAATTCAAGTTGCATAAGGGGCAAAATTTAGGTTTTGGATTCAGATTTCTGTATCTCTGCTGGGCTTCTTGAGATCCTGTCTTACAGTCTGTAGAATTGCAGATCTGATGTGGTTTTTGGGGTGCAGTCCCTCAGCTCTTTTAAAGATTTTGCTGTTTAATGAAAAATATACAGTAAATCTTTCTAATCATTTATCGCCAGTCCTGTGCACACAACAGAGTGTGATAAGCCAACCCAGGGAGGTTTATGCTGTTATGACCTTATAGGGATGAGTGTTAGAGGATCTAATATACATCCATTGTAAATACCAATGTGCTGTTTATTCCGAATTCTCCAAAGACCTTCAGAAGTTATTTCGCTGTGTTTGGACATGTGAAAAAAGGATAGCATATAGTGTTTTGGGGCTATGAATAATAATAATTGATTGAAATCTGCTGCAAAAGGAACACACTAAACTGTTGTTAAAATAAAGACTGGGACTGATCAGTCCTGGGATAGGCGACCTGCAAGGAAAACCAGGCTGCTCCGGTCCAGAGCCACTGTCCTTACAGATCCCAGGGCTCTTCATACAAATAGTAAGACTATTGTGTGCAGCAGCAAATCAAATCTACCTTAATTCTTCACCTATTCAACTTGTGAATCATTTATTTAAATTACCACTATCACAGGCATTTAACTGAATCCATTCATTTCAAATTATACTGCAAATAAATTGCTGTCCTGATCTGAAACCGTGAGTAAATGTTCAGTGTAGATAAGGCGAGAAAGAAAAGTCTAAAAGCGAAGGAATTACACCCGCTTCTTGGACTTAAATATGTGGACGAGATAAAAGTTCCCTTTAAACGTGTTCCACAGTCCCTTTTGCCAGGCTGTAGCCCGTATCGTTAGACAGGAAGGCTGGAGGTGAGCAAAGCTGGCTGAGCCTGCCTGAGTCGAGCTCCGCCCCCTCTCTCTCTTTGTGCCCTCACAGCTCCCCGCGCCCGGAGGTTCTCGTCGGGGGGAGAGGAAGATGGCTGGAACCACAGTCTCAACAGGGTGAGCCCCCCCCCGAGCACTCTTTCTCTCTCTTCATGAAAGAGGGCAGACGATGACAAGCGGGCCGTGCTGGGCTCACTCTGCACATCAAAGCCCCAGTTTTGCAGACTGTGCAAAATCCCTTTAAAGCTGGCCAGGTCCCTGAAGGCTGCTGCCTTGCCGAAGACTGGAGTTTAATGGGAATCGGTGAGAACAGGGGTACTCTGAGATCTCTTCTCAGGATAAGATCACAGGGGTCGAGTGCAGATACCAGCCGGAGGCAGTGGCTCTTCCTGCTCAAGCCCTGCAGCTGCCGCTAGTCTTTCACTGCTTTCGATTCTCATCGTGACGCCCTTGGATCCGACCCCCACACCCCCACGTCCCTACGTTTTCCCCGTGAATGAATTTAAAACGACACCTGACGTCAAGGTGAACGTGCTGTTGAAATGGCCGTTTTCTGCCCAGTGCGCGAGGATCGGCAGGACCTCTTGCCTCCCCGCAAAGAGACTCCCATCTGTCATCAGCCGCTCCGCTTCTGCGGTTTCCACCGAGGTGCACACTCTCCCCTCGAGCGGCGCTGGGCTGTGAGCTCGAGAGCCCGGATTCAGGCGGCGTCCCCGAAAGGGGGCTGTTACTGCTGGTTGGCGCCTGGGACCCCGCTAACCTCACAGAAGCCGCGGCTGCTCGTTTGGAGCCACCAGTGGGTGTGTTTGGCCGGCTTGCTGAACTGATGGAAGGCTGAGGTGGCGCGTGGGAGTGAGCCTCCCTCCGTCTGGCCCACAGTTCTGCAGCTCGACTCCGGCTCTGTCTCAGAGATCACCCCCTCCCACAGAGGCACGGCGCAAAGAGCCGTTCACACTCTGGATCTGCCTGTTGATCTGAGTTTTTTCTAAATGATCAGGCATGGCCTGAGGGAGGTAATATCCGTTAGGCCCAGAGACCGGCTTCAGAGCTGTCGAGGGCTGGGTTAACTTTCTGTGCTGCAAAAGCTGTGCTGAGCTAGCTGTGCAGAGGACCCTCATTATTAAAGTCCTGGGGACTCATTTTGATGAAAAAGGAGATGTTTCTAAATGATCACGGTGAGACAGATTGATTGGAGTGAGGATGCGTGGAACTGTGTGGTCCTATCAGCAGAGTCGCCTACACTGTGGCCAGTTCTCCAGGTCGGTGGCACAGTGACATAGCTGGTGATCCAGCACTTGTGTGCCCTGGATCTCACTCTAAGCTAGGGCTCCTTCTGCGGGGAGTTTGCATGTTCTCTAAATTGTGAGTACGTGCCCTACGATGGGGTGGTCCCCCGTCCAGGCTGCAGTCCCGCCTTGTCCTGCTTCTGAGCTTCTGGGATGGGCTCCCAGGTATCTGGGGTCTCAACATGATCGCCCCCGCAGTAAGAATGCCTGTTTTGTTCTGTCGAACGCGATTCATGTGTTTTGTCTCCACCAGTAGATGTCTGAACGTTTTGCTGCGGTGTGTCAAATTCACCTCCCCTTGGGTGGCTGATCTCTCCCCCCCCCCCTCTGCAGATCCAGGGCGGAATCGGGAGGATGATCCTGAAGGAGGAGATGAAGGCCCGGTCCGGCTCCTATGACAACGACCCGTGGGCCAGCGCGCGGAACTCGCGCAGCGGCAGCAAGGAGACCCTGCTGGGCCTGGGCTACGAGACCTCCCTGAACGGCTGTGAGCACGCAAGCGCCGTCCCACCCACCCGTCCCCCTCAGAGCACTGCGATGGAGGATGAGATCAGGAGCAAAACGAACCTTCCTGCTCCACCCCACCTCCCCTCATTCCAACCCTACAGCAGCAACCCCCTCCCAAAGACACAATCACAAACCCACCCCTGCAACCACAAAAGGATAATTTCAGCGTCTGGAATACCTTCAGATGAAACACACACATAAACCCCCCGCCCCACGACAGCTTTAGCCAAGAAAGCTCTCAAGAGCACAGGAGGGATGGACAGAGGGCTGCTGACTACATGTTTGTACTACATTTTACAACGAGCTCTCTAAAAATAGGACAGGAAGGTTTTTACATTATAAAGAAAGTTGAAATCATTAAAAAAATGAATTTCTTTCAAAAAGGCTGAAGGAGGACTTTTGACCAAAGTGAATGATTTTAAATCATTTAGGCCTTGTGTCCAGGTGTCCAAACTTCCCCTTCTGTTTTAGATTAGTAGATGGGTACCTGAGTGGACACAAAATGTCACCTGGGGAAATAGACAGATGGACCATAGGGTAGATAGACTGACAGGCACATACATTTACAACAACAGATAGACAGACAGATGGACAGACTGATTGTGCTACAGTACATGCAATGCCCCCTTTACTGAGATATGCTGTATCATTATCCTGACAGCAAAATGAAGCTGCGTGGAGCCTCTGTAAGGTCTAGTTGAGTGGGTCATGTGTTTGAGAAGCCCTGCCTGGAGGTGGTAATGAAATAGAAATAGAGCTCGTCACAGCTGTCAGTGTGACAGTCCCAGCCCACGCGCATCACTGTCCTGCTGCATGTGGAGGCTTGGTCTTTCTGAACGGCCTGTTCAATAATGAGTTGTTATCCGGAGTGCCGGCTTCAATCAGAGCTAGGGCTTTGCAGGCCTGGGCTATAGGTCACCCTGTGCTGCCCTCCCCCTAAACTGCACTACCGCCATGTCTTCATAGGAGACCACAGGAGCAGCAGGAGGCAGAGAAACAGGAGAGAGGGCCTCTGCCCTCCTTCTGAAGGGGCTACGTGGGTGCACAGAACTAGCTTGGTGTCAAATGCTGGATGCTCCAAATTCTGCCTGCTTCTCTCTCCTGTCTCCTGCTTCATGTCTAATGTTTCCTGTCTACTGTCCCGTCACAAAGTGTGAATAGAGCGGTGTTCATCAGGCTATTACACACACACTGCCCCACAGCCTAGAGAGACAGACTGGTCCTCAACACACTGTCTCACACACACACACACACACACACACACACACACACACACACACACACACACACACACTAGAGAGACAGACAGGTCCTCAACACACTGTCTCACACCCACACACATACACACACACTAGAGAGACAGACAGGTCCTCAACACACTGTCTCACACACACACACTCTGCCCCACAGCCTGGAGAGACAGACAGACAACCATGGCAAAACTTTGAATTGCCTTGCAAATGTGCCTTGGCAGACTGTTCTTCATGGATAAAAGAGAAATCTTACTGTCTCCCACTGGGGGAGTAGAGCCATTCTGGGAGAATTTCCTCCTGCATCACCTTCCAGATCTAATGAGGCATTGCTAAAAGCCTAAGGAATTACCAAGAAATTGTGAAAGCCACAGGCTCAAGCAGCTCTGTTATTCTGAATTCAGACAGGGGGAGGCTCTGTCTGAATTACAGAAGATTAGCTTATTGTTGAGAGTGCTGTTGGGGCACTCTTGTGCTCTTCCTGACGGTCCTTTCAGGTCTTTAAACCTGCTAATGCCCATTCATTCAAAAGTATGATCTTGCATTTGACACTTTTCAGCTGGGTGGATCTTGAAGCACTTTAAATAATATCTAGACATCTTAACACCTTCATACAGGCTGTATATGATACAGGAACAACTTTCATACTCTGCGATTGTAACTCCAAAAGACATCATGTGTACATGACTATCTCTGTTAATACATGACATTTGTCACAGCAGAGCCTGCGTGTTTTAGGATTAGGGTTTAAATCAGGATTAGGAGCAGAATTCATAAAACACCACTCAGAAAAATGTGACTGAAATATTCAGCACCTGCTGTTGGGTCGTACCGCTCAAGTCTCTTCTGAATAAAACTTCACAGAGACGAAGAGCTGTGCAGTGGGAGTCTGATACTCTTATCTCTCTTCTCAATGCAGCAGGGTTGATGTGTCTCTCTTTCTATCTCAGATTGCCACAGGCCTTTTAAAAGAGCATGGTGGTCTAATGAAGCCTGTCCTAATTAAGCCTGTCATGAATTCAATTAAGTAATTAGAATCGCAGCTGGAATGAGACCCAGCTTAGTGTGTGTCCTGGATTCAGAATGTGTGGACAGACAGATTCATGCACACAAACAGTACGTACAGTACACAGGGCTGTCTCAAGGGGTGGGCGGGGCGGGGCCCAGGGTGGGGGGGT